CCCCCCCCCGTCCTCTTATCTCTCCCAGTGAAAGGTTCTTTGTGCGACTGAATAAACACGGAGTTCCTAAATCGCCGGAGAAGACGGAGAGACAATGCACCCTCTTTGTGGTGAGTATTCGGGGCTCATTGTGAAAGACGCGTGCCTGCTAATCCCCGTCAGGCCGGAAAGAGCTCCGCCCCCAGCGCCCGGGCTTCACGTTCCTGCGCTCTCTCACGTTTAAGCGCGGTTTGCCTGCTGAGCAAGTGAACAGCGGCTTCTGTTCATGCAGATTCATTGCCATAATTGTCACTTATATCCTCAGTGTGGATACTATTTCACTCAAGTCTTGAGGGAAGTTAAATCTACAGCACCGTAGATCATGGGTTCAGATCCCTTGGCCAGCTGAGTAATCATATCACCATTCGGCCCTTGAGGAAGGCCATTAACCCCTCCAAAGGCGCCGAATGCTGGCCGACCGTTGTCTCCTTCCTTAAGCTTTCATCTTTTGTACAACACTTTGGAAATCAGTGTTTGCCAGAAATGTAAAGGTAGTGGCATTAACTGCCATCAGTGGCACTCTAAACTCAAAAATATTTACTGTTTAATTTGTTTGGAGAGAAGGGTTACTTTCTGGGATTTGAACCCATGACCTTCACATTGTCAGCGCAGTGTTCCTACTTGTTGAGCTAAAGAAGCTGTTTGGTGCTGGGCTCTACTATCCATGTAGATATAGACACATATAAAGTGTCTTACTTTTGAACATCTTTGCCATTTTGGTGTTACTCCTCTGTGTAAATGAACGGCATGTTTTGTTCTGTTTTGTTTTAAGGATTTGGGCACCAGCGACCTGAGGAAGGATGTGTATATTGTGGTCCATATCATACGGATAGGTAAGCTGGTCTGCATCACCCCCGAAGGTGGACAGTATCCATCTGCTACCCTGTGTGTAGGCCTGAGTGCGAGTCCCCCCCCCCCTCCGTAGGGCGCATGGGGGCCGGAGAGAAGAAGAATGTGAGCAGTGCGCAGTACCGTCGGCCTTTCGGGTGTGCGGTCGTCAGCGTGGCCGACCTGCTCACCGCCGACATTAAGGATGACCACCTGCTCAAAGTCTACACGTGAGTAGTGGGGCAGGGGCGGGACCGGGTGGGGGGAATACCAGACCATAAAGCCAGTCGCATCTTTCGTGGACTGCGGGGGTAGCTTTCCTGGAGACATGCATGGTTCCTGTCATCCTCGTTGACGATGCCAGTGTCCAGCTGGGCGGTAACGTGATTTTCCTGTGGACTGTAGGAGGCGCTACTTCAGTCTGTCCTCTGCATGTTCCTGCAGGTGCAACACAGAGACCGAGTGGTATCAGATCCACGAGAACATCATCCGCAAGGTGAACTCCCGGTACAACCTGAGCGGATCCAATGCTGGTGAGGAACTCCCCGTGTCCCTCCACGGCTGTCGGTGAAAACCCCGCCCCCAGGAACACGAATCCGCACGCGGCGTAAGCGGGTGATCGAGCGGGTCGAGCTCATAAGCGACACGTACACTCGTGCTTCTCTGTTTCCCTTTAAAAATAACTTTTTTTGTTATCTCCGTAGTAAGAGAACTCCTCCTTAACCTCTTAATGGCAGAGAAGTATATTTGGCTTCCCAACGTTTGAGTGAAATGTCAGTGTATCTCCTAGCAACGGGTGCTTTGGTAACACGCCTTCTCAGGTCTGCGAAGGCAGAAGCACAAAGATTTGGGAATAATGACTCGCCGCGTTATGTAAGTGTCCTCCGGTGTACAGAGCTAGGGGGGCGATGGCTTTTCCTGTCCGGCCTGCTTTTTTCGGGCTGTGGGCAGCGATTGAGTCATTAGATACCCAACATCCTACTTCCTGTACATAAATATCCATCCATCCGCACTCCGGAGCTGCTCATCCTGCACCGGGATGGGGTTAGGCTGGAACCCATCCCAGAATGCAGCGGGCACAAGGCCGGGGCGGGGGGGGGGCTGCACACTCACACACTGTGGGCGGTTTGCAGATAGCTGCTTACCTCACTGCATGTTTCTGGACTGTGGTGGGGGCGGAGGCAGGGGCAGAGAGCGGTGCGTTTAGACAGGAGCGTGTAGGCCGTGTCACTTTGATATGGGGACTTGTGGTTATCGTACAGGCATTGTACCAGCAAACATGGAAATGCACAATTGCTACAACGGGAACGCTGGAGCGGACAGGATCATGGGCTCTGGCTAGAAGCCATCGTCCCTCCCAACAAAACTGACGATTTGCCGTTTCCTGTCTCAATGTATCCCGTAAATTAGCATTAGCATTATGGTTACTCTAATTCTCATCCTGAGCTAGGTATACCAATATGTTCCTCATACGTTACTCTGGTTCCTGTGCTGGACTGACTCCAGTGCCTACCATGTGTGCCGTTTCCTGCCAGGCTGGCTTGACCCGATCGCCCCGTGCCCAGTAAGACTGCCACGTAACAGGCCGTATTATTGGGCAGGCCGTCGCCTGAACCAGCCGCGACGGGCCAAGCGGCTCTTTGCTCGGATGTCCTCGTGGTCTTGCCTGCTCGTTCACCTCCTGCTCATGTGTCGGGCCTGATGACGAAAAGGGTGTGATTCTGGACCCGACTGGAAAACGGCGGAGTGCGCGTGCCGTTTGACAGAGGACCCCGCAGCCGTAGTCCTGCCCGCTGGGCTCTTAGCATTTGGAAATGTCCATAGCGATGGAGATCTCACTGGCTGAAAATGCTTGGTTTTGGCCACAGGGTGAGGCGGGGTTGTGCCAGATATAGGGGGCGCTGTTATTTCAGCATGGCTGCACGATGAAAAGCCATTGAGGATTTTAGGAGCTTGGATATGGCTCGTTGGGATGAGCGCCAGGGCTCACTCCGCTTTCCTTCCCGGGAACAGGCTGTGTCACTGGGCAACCACAGGGGGGTGATATGCGAGTGAGAAAAAGGGAATGGAAACCTTGAGCCACAGGGAGAAACAGAATGCAGACACATGTATAGAGTCATGGTAGAAGGTGTCGGTGGCTTCCTGGGTCACGGCTCAGTTCGCAGTGGGCTATGGCAGGATGAGACCAGGAAAAATCCAGAAAGCATGAGGTATACAGAAGTAAATATGTGTAATATGGTGCAGTCTCCATACTCATCACATATTAAGCAAAATCCTTCTATTTTTATTATCAAGTGCTGTTGATCCACAGTACACTGCCAAGCCCCGCCCCCCCATAGAACACTGGCTATGGTATGAGCTGTGTCCCCCCCCCCCCACAGAGCACTGAGTGTAGTATGAGGGTGTGTTTTCCCCCAACAGGGCTGGCCGTCTCCCTCCAGCTGCTCCACGGTGACATGGAGCAGATCCGCCGCGAGTACATGGCGCTCTTCACCCGTGGCATCGCCATCACCAAGAAGCTGGGCTTCTCTGACATCATCATGCCAGGTGGGTGCTTCCCCCTGCCGCTGCCTGAGGGGGGGGTTTATACCCAACTTGTAATATAATTGCTCTAAGTGCTCTTAAGCATCATTGGGAAAGACACTGTATAAGTGTCAGCATCCATCCATCCATCCATCCATCCTCAAACCACTTCTCCTTCTGTGGTCATGGTGGCAGCATGCTGATTGGGTCAGATCTCACTGTTGGGGATTCCCCGGCTTTCCCAAGCTATCTAGGAGGTCTGATCCCTGCAGTGTGTCCTGGGTCTGCCCCGGGACCCAGACTAGTGGCACGTGCCTGGATAAAAATAGTAACAGAATGGAGTCGGCGGACCGTTTTTCGCCGTGACCTGAAAATGGAGATGGATGCGGTCTTCCCAGGAGGCAGCGTTTCCGGGGCCGCCTGCTCTGCTCCCCCGAGTGGCTGATTTCTCTTCTGATTCCCTCACAGGCGAGATGAGGAATGACCTGTACGTCACCTTGGAAAGAGGAGAGTTTGAGAAGGGGGGGAAGAGTGTGGCCAGGAATGTGGAGATTACTGTGTGCGTGCTGGATACGGACGGAGTCGTCCTGAAGGTAAAACTCTCTCTTGTTCAGATCAGGAACACCAGCGCTGTCATATACAAGGACATAAAGCAGCATGCTGATTTGCATTTTGTCTAGTAGGTCTTTGCTGCCTGCCTGTCTCCTTTTCCGTTAGCCTGATTATCTTCTGCCATGTAATATGTTGTTTCTGTACTTAGGTACTTAGTATTAAAAGTATTTAAATTTAGTTTTAACAATGTAAGGTATCAAATCCTTACTAAAGAGGGCCAGATTTCTTAATAAGCTGTTAATACCAATTAATTAAAGACCGCAAAAGCAATTTCGGTCATGGGATTTGAACCTGTCACCTACTGGTCACATGCTCATTTCTTTAGCTGTCATGTTCTCTACCAGCCCGTTCGCAGCTCATATCTGCACTCATTCTTTGGCCGCCCTTCTCACGCTTTCCCCATCTTTCCCAGAATTCCGTGTGGGCGGGGTCCGGGGAGGCCGGCGCTGAGGAGTACCGCTCCCTTGTGCTGTACCACAACAACAGCCCCCGCTGGGCAGAGCAGGTTAAGCTGCCACTGCCCGTGGACAAGTTCCGGGGCTCCCACGTTCGCTTCGAGTTCCGCCACTGCTCCAGTAAGCCCCGCCCCCCCCTCGCCACATGCCGGTGTGCGCGTGTGGGTCACGTGCGCTGCCGTGTTTCCTTTCAGAGATCGCCGGTAGCTTCCCTCGGCCCTGGGGGAGTGCCATCCTCTAATAGCTGTCTAATTCGGGCCTGTGACGTACCAGTGGCGGGGTGGGAATATTTATATTTGACTGAGAGATAAAATTTAGGCCCTTTGAGAGTATTGGTCTGATGATTTTGGAGGGGGAGGGGTGCTAAAGGCTTTCCTTTGATGCCAACAGTAGATATCTTTTGGTGGGGTGGGGGAGGTTTAGAGGGGTATGTATTAATAGTGAAGCTAACAATGCTTACATACATACATGCATGCAAGCATACCTCAGCTAGCCTATACCTTGCTATTACATCTGAGACCGAAAACATTGGAATGATGGACACTGATTCCAGGATGACTGATTAGCTGAAACATGTTTTAGTCGTCCAATTAAATGACCTCAGCAACAGTTGCATGCCCTCCCTGCAGAGGGCGCCGTTCTCTGAGCAGAAGTCCAGAATGCACGTGTTTTTCAGCTAAAGACAAGGCGGAGAAAAAGCTGTTTGGCTTCTCCTTCATACCCCTGATGCAAGAAGACGGCCTCACATTGCCCGACGGCACTCACGAGCTCATCGTCCACAAGGTAACCACAGCAACCCGTGGGCGGGGCAGGCAGGGGAGGATGGTTTGAATCTGGGTCTCACTCGTTCGCCGGGGGGGGGGGGGTTGCCGGATTTCTCATGGAGCTGTGAAGAAGCCTCGTCACGATCTCGGACAGAGGCTGCTGATGCACCTGTTAAAGCGATGATGTCATGTATTTATTTTGGGGGGGGCCCTTCACCCTTTGGAAATGCTGGTTCCACCCAAAGAGAGTTGTGTGGGCTCTCCCTGTGAAATGCTCACTTCATACTCTCTCTCTCCTTTGTATGAACAACGACCATGAAACTGTCAGTTTAAACGTTTTTTTTTTTCCCTTGGTGGGCGGACCGGGGGTGGAGGGGTGCGGTCTGTAATGGGCGCCTACGGGCAGGAAAGTACATGTGAAACTCGTTCTTCTGAGATGTGCCAGTTCAGGGTACTGTGGATGGGGGGGTGGGAAGGCCTTTCTGACTTTCTCCTGCTGTAAGGCTACACGCCTCTGGCAAACCCAGACTTTTCCAGCAATATAAAAAAATAAAATAAACGTGATATTTGTCCTAACAATCTTCTCCTGAGGGCCACTCTTGCTTAGATCTCCATCTTGCCCACGGGTCCCTAAGGTGTAGACAAGGGCATCACCTGCTGGATGCAAGACTTATTTTATGTCGCAATTCCATCCACTTTCTCTTTTATTCTGTCCATTCAGGATTTACTTCATGACATTGTGTCATAACTTATGTGGAGGAACAGATGATCTTGTGTTCAAACATCGCTTGGGCGCTGTAATTTTACATGCAAAATTAAAACAGAATTGATGAGTTATTGGTTGATATTTCTAAAAAGTATTGGCTGAAGTATGAACACATTGCAAATTTGGTTTTGTGGCAGTGAAAAAAGTGAGCTTTCTGAAATTTGTGTGACCCAGTTGTACTCTTCAGAAGTAGGACAGTTTACCAAAGCATCGTGCTCTTGTACTTCGGAGCAGCAACGGTCTTCACAGGAATGTTCACTTTTCGGAATATTATCCTGTGCAGAGTGTCAGGCGTGTCCGTAGCTCCGTCTGAATCGCAGAGATGGGAACGGAGCTCCTGGTGCCATTAACAGAGCTTCCACCTTTCCAAAGACGCTTCAAGTTGGCGAAGCATGGCTTCCTAAAACTGAAGCACCCCTTCACTAGTAACGCCAGATAGCCTCGCAAATAGTGTCATATTGTTTGCTGATGCTGTGGCTGAGGAAGTGTATCAGGCAGGTGTGGGGTGGGGGGGTCTATGAGGGCTGGGATCTCCCACTGAGGGCCTCCCTGGGTCTTTTTCTTCTCGGCCTCCCACAGTGTGAGGAGAACACCAACCTCCAGGACTGCATCCGGTACCTCCACCTGCCCTTCTCCAAGGGGAGCCTCCCGGGGAACAGCCAAGCCGCCAAGGGCATTAAGGAGTCTGTCTGGATCACGTCTTTCCTGTGTTCCACGAAGCTCACGCAGAATGGTACGGACACTCGGAGATTAGCCAGCCAAGATGCACGCCGCTTCCTCGTACGAGGCGGGTATGGGGGACTGAGGGGACGCTTGCTGTCTGTCAGTCAAGCAGACCGTCATAGAGAAACAGACCTTCGTGGTAACCTTTCTGTTGTGGTTTGACATAAGGCAACTAAATTTCCATCTACCGGCATGCATGTGTGACAAGACTGATCTTACGGAAATAACAGCACACAGATATATAAATATGCAGCTGGTTATGGGCGGGCGGATGAGGTTATGACTTGTTTCTTTTGTTGGCACAATTGTTGGTGTAGCAGTCGGTTGAATATACATCCATCTTCCTGCCACTTCTCCTGGTCTCGGTAACGGGCAGCGTGGGAGAGCCCCTGGAGAGAGTGCCTGCCCAGCACAGGGCACACAGTCACACACCGCAGGCAGTACGGAGACAGCGATTAGCTTTGCTGCGTCTCTTTGGACAGTGGGGTGGCAGGGAAGGGGCATGACTTCGAATCAGTGTGTTAGTTGGCCTCGTTTTGTTTCATTTTGGCAGATAAAGCTTTTTCATCTTAAACAGATTAGCCCCTGTTGTCCTGCGTCCATTGTCCCCTGCATTGCATTGTGTTTCCCCCACATAAACACATAAAACTCCCTAATGAAATCCCTTGCATCTGTCATCCTGCTTTCAGGGAATATGCTGGACCTGCTGAAATGGAGAGTTCACCCAGAGAAGATCAGCGACAGCCTGTCCAAGCTGAAGGAGATTGACGGCTCAGAAATAGTCAAGGTAGAGGAGGGCGGCGGACGTCTCTGTGTCCGATAACGTGGGGCCATGCTGGACCCATCCGACTGCTGAGGTCGAAATAAGTGTCACTTTTCTGTCTGTCACTAAGGCATTTTGCTGAACATCAACAGTAATGGCAATACTAATAGTTGCAAACAAAAGAGGCTCATCCTGAAGTGTAAAAATTATTGCATCGAGTTAAATATTTTTCAATGGCAGATGCACCAGATGAGGTGGGGACATTGCTAAAGCAATTTGATGAGCCAATAAAGAAAGAACCATCAGTTTCTGCTGAGAAGATCAGGTCTGGTCTCTCCTGCTTCAGATGCATCTTACTGACGAGGACATCGCAGCTGATGATTACTTACTTACAGAAATCTCGGGTCATGATTCTTTGCTAACAATCGGATCTCAGGTCAAGATTCTTTACTGATGATGAGATCTCAGGTCATTATTCCTTAGTGATGAGGAGATCTCGGATTATGATTCCTTGCTGATAATGAGATCTCAGATCATGATTTCTTGCTGATGATGAGATCTTGGGTCATGATCCCTTACTGATGAGGAGATCTTGGGTCATGACACCTTACTGATGAGGAGATCGTGGGTCATGATCCCTTACTGATGAGGAGATATCAGGTCATAATCCCTTACTGACGAGGAGATCTTGGGTCATGATCCCTTACTGACGAGGAGATCTCGTATCATGACACCTTACTGGCGAGGAGATATCGGGTCATGATCCCTTACTGGCGAGGAGATCTTGGGTCATGATCCTTTACTGACGAGGAGATCTTAGGTCATGACCCCTTACTGACGAGGAGATATCGGGTCATGACCCCTTACTGGCGAGGAGATATCGGG